GCCACCGGCCGAGCTCGCCGTCGCTCTCATCGCCAGTCGCAAATCATAACCGACTTCTCCTTGCCCGCCAGTGGACATCATCAAAGCCGAGAGTCCCTGCTGGTGGACATTCAGATCTGTCTCACCGATCCACAGCCACTGGCCGAGCTCGCCGTCGCTCTCATCGCCGGTCGCAGATATCCACAACCGAGTTCTCCTTGCCCGCCGGTGGACATCATCAAAGCCGAGAGTCCCTCCTCGCTCACCGCCGCAATTAACCAGTCCGTCTCTATCGGCTTCATCAAGCCGTCACAGCTAGTCCGTCACCGCTTAGCCGCAGTTCATCCACACCCGTGCTCTCCATCTTGCTCGCAAGCTCGCCGCCGAGTTTCCACGGCCAGTGGATGCTTTGACGAAGGCCCGGCACCGCCTCCACTCTCTCTACCACTATTGCCCCTGTTCATTATTTCAAGAAATATATATATATTTTTTTGCCCACAAAATTGAAGAAACACATTGGATAGGCACAGAAAAATTAATTAATAGTATACAATAATTCTCACTAAACCCATTTGCAATCTCTCTGTTTCGTTTTTTGGTGGAGGTGGCAGTGGTAGGTGGTGGTGGTTTTGGGGGCAAAATTTCTGGTTTTCAGTGAGAGAGGATAGAGATATAAAATTAGAATTCATAAGGGTAATTCTGTCATTTGAAGATTTGGATATTTTAAATTAAAAATTAGTGTTTTATTGAAGGGCAATTTAGTCTTTTCTCACCTTTTAAGGGTCTGTTTGGATAAAAAATTCTAGCAAGGGGTGTCTTTGTTAACTTTATCAAACCTAGTGGGGTGTCATCGTTCAAAAATGGTCTAACTTGTATATAGCTGTAATTATAGTAAACCTCAGGGGGTGTCATTATAATTAACCCTAAAATTTTCTATAAAGTTAATAAAATATATTATTTTCTCGATTTTTAAATTTTATATTTAATTTTAGGATTAATTACAACGACACTTCCTGAGGTTTGCCATATTGACAGCCGTATACAACTTAACCCTTTTTTGAACAAAGACACCCCCTAAAGTTACAAACTTGAACAATGACACCCAATTTAAAAAAAGCAGAGCCAAACACAACCTTAAGTTATGTGAAATGTCTAATATGCCCTAAAAATATTTTAATTTCACCTAAAATGACCAAACTATCATCTCCTCTCCTCTCATCTTATCTTTTTCTCTCTCTCTCACACACACACACATAAACTGCTCAATTGTCCTCATCGTCTTCCACACCCTCAAACCCCCAGTCCGTATTAAAACCAAATTGCCGGGCCTTTTTGCAGAGAGAAACAACAGTGAGGGAGAGGGAGAGACCCACCAAGTGTGATAATTTGATTGGATAGTTAAGGGTCTCCTATGCTTTGTCTTGACTCTTGACTCCCCATTTATATATATATAGACTATAGATATAATGTCAGGGAATGAAGGTGAAGAGAATAAAAGATTAAGGGAGAGAGAGATTTGTTGAGGAGGATCTTAGATCTGTGAGCAGGGTTGGTGTGTTGGGTATCGGTTGAGGGTGAGGTGGCAGACGCCGGTGCTGTTGTCGATGCAAAGAGCAATGGCTGAGAGGCGGAGGTGGGTGAGGCGAGTTAGGAATTGGATTGACTGTGGATGGCTCAGTCGTGAAGGACTTGCGATGGCTAGTGAGGGCTTGGCCGGTGAAGGCTTCTCTTTGCTCGCCGCGAGATTCCTTTTTGTTTTTTGGATGGTGTGATCCATGTGTGTTGGGTTTGTGTGATGGTGGTGAAATGGGGAAAAAGATGATGGTTGTGGAGGTTGCGGTGGTGGTGGTGAGTGGTGGTTGTGTATTGGCCGGAATGAATGGGAGATTGAAAATTTAGAAGAAGAAAATTTTTTTTGGATGAGGGTAATTTGGTCATTTTATGTGATCAAAAGGGTAAACATGTACTTTCATCATGTTTGGGGTGTCATTGTTTAAGTTTGTAACTTTAGGGGGTGTCTTTGTCCAAAAAAGGGCTAAGTTGTATATGAATGTCAATATGACAAATTTCAAGGGGTGTCGTTGTAATTAACCCTTAATTTTATAAGCATGTAATATATATGAAAGTTTGAGTTTAAATTTTATACCTAATAACAAGAGTGTATATAAATTATTTACTTTACGACAATAAAGTATTATTAATTTTAAGAAACATTTACTATATCATTGTTGATGTGAATTAATAATAAATAAACATACCATCTATAATTTAGTAATTAAAATAAAATATATTTATTTATTATTAATTCACATGAAAAAAAATGAGTATAAGTATAAATCCCTCTGCTAATAAGTGCCAAAATATTGTTCTTAAGTTCACCCAAAAAACAAACACCCACTTACCACAGTAACTATTTGTAATTGTAAATTATGCACAAGAATCGGAGATCCACATTTCTAGAGAGACCTTTGGATGCAAAAGTATATTCAAAGCCTGACACGCCATGTGAATATGTCACTTTATTTAGAAAAAGTCCACCTAAAAAGCAAAAGCAGTAAAGCACTTACCACAATTATTTGCTTTTTCAATTGCTTCGTCCTTTTTTTTTTTTTTGTCGTATCCAATTATTATTACTCTTGACGTTTCCTTGTAAATCGATGCGCGTGAAAATAGAGCGTTAGACCTACTCGCAATAGCACCGGACGCGTGAATAAATGGTCCTAATCACGAAGACTTCAAAAACAAAGATCAGATGTAGGATTTAGAGGCATTTGTTTCAGTACATCTCATCAATCGATGGCTATGATCCTATGATAAATAAAAAAAAGACAGAAAAGTAATGCAAAGGAATCATATGAATGATCGGTATATTTCTCTCATGAGATTTGGTTACAGTGTGACACTGAGGTTTTCTTTAAGTTTGTAATAATCTGTACAAAAAATTCAAAATTTTTATTTAAAGTGACTAATCTATACAACAACTATAATATAATCTAATTATATTAACAATTATATTTTATACTTAGACTTGAATTCAAATTAAATGAAACAAATAATATATGAATTTCAAATTAGCAATGACATAAATTATGTTCCCATGTTTTGATAATTGTGATAGATACGATATTAGTTTAAAACAAGATTCCAAAGGAATAGATGTATGTTTAATTATATAAGAAATAAGATTTTACTAGTTTAAAAGAATTATATATATGAATTTAATATGTGCACCAATAAAATGGAGTCATTTTATCAATAGATTAGTGGCCCAGCGATACATGTTCTTACCATTTAAAGAGAGATTAGGGTATAAGTGTGTAAGTACCAATTAATTGGTCAATTATATAACAAATAAGAAAATAAAATCCTTCACATACTTATATTTGATATAGTATACATAACTAATTAAAAATTATTCCATTAAGTAATTATCACTGCTCATAATAATAATAATAATTTATAAACTTGACATTCGTGACACACGCACTCTTTCACTCTTTCAACCTCTTTTACTCTGTCGTCCTCGCTCTCACCATCTGCAATCTCGCATCGTCTGACTATTTCACTTCTGTTACATTTTAAAGCATTAAATCGGGCCTTATAATTAGAATTAGGAAAAAAAAATAATTAAAACGTTAATTAATTTTTTTCAATTACAATAATTTCTAGACGCTCCTTTGAAAAAAACAGAGAGAACAAATAAAGTGTCTTGTTGTATAAAACAAATTTGGATGAAATCTTTAGATAAGTAATGGATTTGTCACCAATTTTATAAATTAAGGCTTCGGCATGTTTCACTGTAAAAAAAAAATTTGAAAATTATTTTTCTTATTTTTTGTTATTTGAGAGATTTCAAGGTTAGAAAATTATTTTTCATGTAAAACATTTTATTCCCAAATGACCGAAAATGATTTACCAAAATTTTTTTGTAAATCATTTTACACAAGCTATTGCCTGTTTGGTGATGAACACTAAATAAATTGAGAGTTAATTGTGCATAAAAGTTGATATAGAAAATATTTTATCAATAGTTGCCAAACACCTAAAAATAAAAAAAATATACTTTAGATAAAAATATTTTATTTTAAAAATATTTTACAAGGAAAACATTTTACGTCTGAACAAACAAAGCCTACATGTTATTACTTAATGAGATTTATTTATATATATTTTTAAAGTTTATGATTACACGTGCACCATCAAAAATAAATCAAACACCCCATAAAGTATCTAAATTTATTTAAAGGATTCATCAGTTTAGCCCTTTCCATTTTTGATCTTTAATATATAGTATCATAACAAAGAAATTGTGCCATGTTTTTTCATTTATCATTTTTATCTCCTTTACTTTTTCTTTGAAATATACTCATTATTTTTTCTACATTGAAACAAAAAATATATGGACTTCAAATTAGTAATAACATAAATTAGCCCCACAACACAAGTACCATTCAAGTCAGCAGTGCGATTAAAAAGTTAGACTTTAAGAACTTTACCTCTTGAACCCCTGTCAAGTGTCAACGTCTCTATACTCCCTGAGAGCACACAATGAAATTCTATTTATTAAAATTCTTCAGGAAAAAATATTCCAGTATCCAAATTTGAGTGAAACATGAGTGACTATTGCATTCAGAATTTTTTTTATAGTAAACATTTTTTTGCGATCAATGTTTTAAGAAAGCAATCCGGACCAATTTGATTAAAATTGTGACTATTGAACGGTCCCTATTTGAACTGTATTATTCAGTTTTAGATTTTAGGTATTAAACTTCATTTACTACTACTCATATTTAGAGCTGCTGTTATTCTGAAGTAGTACATTTTAGATTTACTACGTTGATAATGAAAAGATGTGTAATTTCATCAAAACTTCTCCTAATTTTTCATCAAAACTATTATTCAGTTTTACCAATTTTGATTAATTTAGCATAATTAATTTAAAGTCTAGGATTGTAACTAGTGGTAAAATTTATTGCACTTTATTTTGTCTTAAAGCTAGTTAGGTAACGTTGACAGAACCATATTTTGTTTTTGGTTCCAAGCAATAATTACTTTTTATTATAGTGAGTCTCTCTCCAACATCTGAATTTGCATATTTCTCTCCCACAATCTCTGTTCTCTCTCCTCTCACTGTTGTCTCACCATAATCCATCTACTGAATCTTCACTTTCTGTTTCTTGGTCTGTCAGTCATTGATAATCAGACTTCATCGTTTCAATTGGGTTTAGCTTCTTTTGCTTCCATTTCATTTTTATTGTTTTCTTTCTCTCTTTTCTTCCTCTGTGTCTGCAATTTCCCACATCCACTCTCTTAGTTTTTCTGTTCAATTTGAAATAGGCTTTTTCTTACACCTCAATTTGTATCTCTCTCTCTCTAGTGTCTCCTTGTGAATCTTCACTTTTCTTTCCGGAGAAAAAAAAAAGAAAAGAAAAAAATCTTCACTTTTCTTTGTCTTGCTTTTGGACTTGTTTGTCATTCAAAATCAAACTGTGTGTGTTTGTCTTGAAGTCTCTTCCTTTAGTTTCTTAGCTTTCACCATCTGCAACCCCTTCCCTCTGAATCATCTTGTCAATCTTCACTTTTTGGGATTCAAAATCAAAATCAAAATCAAAATCAGATTAGAGACCAACTTACTAGCTCATCCAGACAAATCCACAAGCCAGAGGTACGTTTTATGTTTTAAGAATTATAACACTTGTAGGTAAGGAGTTACTAAACCAATCTCAACTCTAAAATAGAAACATGGGACATAATTTCTTTCACAAATTTTGGCCTTTCAAAATAAAATAAATAAATAATAATAATAATTTTTGCAATTTTGAGTCAACAAACCCAACAAATATGATTAATTTTCTTTACAGCACAATGATACAAGTTTTGTAAGCATGTATATATATATGAAAGTTTGGGTGGTCCAAATTTTATAGTATCTAATAACAAAATATATATAAATTCTTTACTTCATTATAATAAAGCATATAATTTTAAAAAATATTTACTCTATAGTTTACACTCCATTTATGTCTTTGTTTTTTTTTTTTTCTTTCTTTTTAGAAAAAAAACAACTAACTCTAATTTTGTTTTTAAGATTTAGCCTTAAAAAACACTTACCAGTTACCACAATTAGAATGCATCAACCAATTGTGTGCGTGTAAAAAAAACGCTTTAAATCTAAGTGCCGGACATAACTCTAATCGGCAAAGTGTTATTTAATTATTTAATTCATTGCTTAATTTTGAATAAATTAAATATTTATTTAATATTATAATTTGAGTCTAGTAAATATGGTAAAAATTATTAAAAAATAAAATAAAATTTTAAATAAGAGAGACATTATTTATCACCAGATGTGAATCATACATGTATTTTTTTACTATTGGTTTGAACTCGCAAAACTTTATCCGGTGACTCAGAGCCGTCAATTATGATGGGACTTGCCACCAACTTTAACTTTCCAGTCTTCATTGGTGATTGCAGTGTCATGGTACCAGTTTTGTTTTCTTCCATATGTATAAGTGATACTGATACTAAAACCTTTTTTACTCCTCATTATTAAGAGCAACATTGGCCTACTTCTTCAATTGAATTATTAAAACTTTAATCAAGTCATTTCCTTTTCCATCGTTAGACATGAAAGTGTCATACTCATGGGACCATTATAATTATTAATTTTGTCTCCTTAATATTTTAATTATTATTTTTTTATTTCTTTAGAGAGTGATTAAGCGTATTTAAATACTGTATTATTATGTATGGCAGGTATATAATTAGAATTAGCATTAAAATTGATGAAATTAAATTTTTTTTTTTTTTTTTTTTTTTTAATTTCATGTCGCCAAACACAACATACATAAATTCATTTTTTTAAGGACTAAAATCATAAAAATCCCACTATTTTCAATTTTTGTTCATAATTTCCCAATCTGTTTCTAAAAATCCAACACTATTACACAGTTATCACATTGCTCTAATAATTCTCAATTCCCTTTTATCTTTATTTGAATTTTTGTTAGCCATGTTTTAGTCATTTAATAAAATTGCGTTATTAATTTATATAATAATTAATTTTATTTAAATTTAATTAAAAATTCTTTTGTAAAATACACGATTTTAGTACAATATTTTTTATTTTTTCTATGAATAGTTAATAAAATATATTATTTTCTCAATTTTTAAATTTTGTAAACATGTATATATATGAAAGTTTGAGTTTAAATTTTATACCTAATAACAAGAGTATATATAAATTCTTTACTATACAACAATAAAGTATTATTAATTTTATAAAATATTTACTTTAACTCTGTTTTTGTCATTACATTCGCATAGTATTTAGGTATCTATTAATGAGGGTGTAAATCATACCATTATTGATATAAATCAATAATAAATAAATATACCATCTATAATTTGATAATTAAAATAAAATGTATTAATTTATTATTAATCTACTAACATTAAGTATAATGGAAATCCATAGTAATGGGTACCTAAATAATATTTTTAAGATTCACCCTCAAAAAGCTATTACCACAATAACTATTTGTAATTGTAAATTATGCACAAGAATCGGAGATCCAAACCTTTGAATGCAAAAGTAAATCCAAAGTCATTTTATTTAGAAAAAGTCCACCCAAAATGCAAAAGCAGTAAAGCACTCACCACAATTATCTGCTTTTTTAATTGCTTTGTCCTTTTTTTTTTTTTTTTCGTATCCAATTATTATTCTTGACTTTTCCTTTTGAATCGATGCGCGTGTGCGCGTGAAATAGCGAGTTACACCTACTCGCAAGGGCGCACCGGACGCGTGAATAAATGGTTCTAAACACGAAGACTTCAAAACAAAGATTATTTACAGTACATCTCATCAATAGATGCCACTGAGGTTTATCATTTGGTTACAGTTTGACACTGAGGTTCTCTTTAAATTTGCAATGACCTTACCTTTGTACAAAAATTAATTTTTTGATTTATCAAAAAATTAATTTGAAGTGACTAAAGACTTGAAATCAAATTAAATGAAACAAATAATATATGAATTTTAAATTAGTAATGACATAAATTATGTTCCGATGTTTTGATAATTGTGGTGGATACGAGATTAGTTTAAAACAAATTTCCAAAGTAATATATGTATGTTCAATTGTATAAGGAATATAATTTCATGAGTTTAAGAGAATTATATATATTTATTTAATATGTGAACCAATAAAATGGAGACATTTTATTGATATCATGTTCTTACTTTTTTAAAAAAGATCAGGTATGTTTATGTGAGTACTAATTAAAAAATAATAATAATAATAAAATATATTGTTTTCAAAATCTTTAAATTTTATATCAAGTTTTGTAAGCATTGTATATACCAAATAAAGATAGTAATGGATTTGTCACCAACTTTATAAATTAAGGCTCCGTAAGTTTCACTGCAAAAAAATTTTCAAAAATTATTTTTATTTTTTATTTTTCGGTATTTGGAAGATTTCAAGGTTATAAAATTATTTTTCATGTAAAACATTTTATCCCCAAATGACTGAAAATGATTTACCAAAATTTTTTCGTAAATCATTTTACACAAGCTATTGCGTGTTGGTGAGGAACACTAAAGAAATAAAGAGTTAATTGTGCATAAAAGTTGATCTAAAAAATATTTTATCAACCGTTGCCAAACACCTAAAAATAATATATATATATATATATATATATATATATATATTAGATAAAAATATTTTATTTAAAAAATGTTTTACAAGGAAAACATTTTATGTTTAAACAAACAAAGCCTAAATGTTATTACTTAATGAGATTTATATTATAATTTTTTTAATGTTTATGATTACAGGTGCACCATCAAAAATAAATCCAACACCCAATAAAATATCTAAATTTATCGAAAGGATTCATCAGTTTAGCCCTTTCCATTTTTGATCTTTAATAATATAGTATCATAGCTAAGAAATTGGGTTTTTTTCATTTATCATTTTTATCTCCTTTACTTTTTCTTTGAAATATACTTATTATTTTTTCTACATTGAAACAAAAAATATATGGACTTCAAATTAGTAATAACATAAATCATGCTATGATGTTTTGATAATTGTGATGAATACGAAATTAAGGAAACCTAAATGAAAGAACTAGAGATAGATTTTATATGGATTCAAGGGTTCTAAAGAAATTTATTTATGTTTAGTTGTATAAGAATTCAAATTGCCATTATCGTAATAAAATATTGCTCCTAAATCTCTAATTTACAGTCACTTTGAACATCAAAATGCAAATTTTACTTCTTGTCAGAGCGAATCTCATTTACCTTGTTCCTGTGAACAAAAGTCAATGATGCAATGATAATGAGTCATGACATGAACATTAATGACGTCCTTTTGCCTTTTCCTTTCTTGGTCCCTTATAATAATTCAAGATTTCAGTGGCATGGTGTTGGTGTTTGTGGTCAAATGCTTCAAGTTTGAGTCTCATCTCATATATGTCAGTTGTTTTAACTTATAAAAAAATAAAAGAAATTATATAGTGTTGACGTACATGAGCTTATTCGTAAACTGAATATAATATTTTAAAAGTTATATTTGATCATTGAAATGAGACAATTTTTTAAGATGTGTAAAAATTTAAATAAATTATTTAATATATTTTAAAATTAGTTGAAATGGAGAATTCATAATGAGATAACTCTATGTTAGATTTGCTTCTCTAAAAATAATAATAATAATAATAAAATTGTCTTTTAATAAATAACAATGGTGTGGATTCTCTCTCTCTCTCTGAGCACTTTACAATTTATTTTGAGAATATGCAAAATATTTGTTCTAATGTGGATTCTCTTTCTCACAGAGCACTTTACAATTTATTTTGAGAATATGCAAAGAGTTTTGTTCTAATGTTCCAAATACTTAAAAAGATTATCCTAGGGTGATTCAAAAAAAATTTAAAAGTAATTATTCTCATATAGGACCCAAAGTTGCACAATGGACTTTTTTTTTCTTAGTAGAATGCGTATATCAACCCCACAATACACGTACCATTTAAGTCGGGGCTGCGATTCAAAAGCTAAACTTTAAGGATTTTACCTCTCGGAGCCAACGCTTCTATGCCCCTGAGAGCACACAATGAAATTCTATTTATTGAAATTCTTCAAGAAAAATATTCCAGTATCCAAATTGGAGTGAAACATTAGTGTCTATGGCATTCAGATTTTTTGTTTTTTTAGTAGAATGCGTGTATCAACCCCACAATACACGCATCATTCAAGTCAATGGTGCGATTATAAAACTAAACTTTAAAGACTTTATCTCTCGAATCCCTGCCAACGCTTCTAAGCCCGTGAGAGCACACAATGAAATTCTATTTATTGAAATTCTGTAAGAAAAATATTCCAGTATCTAAATTTGAGTGAAACATGAGTGTCTATGGCATTCAAAAATTTTTTTATGGCAAACTTTTTTTTTGTGATCAATGATTTAAGAAAGCAATCCGAACCAATTTGATTAAAATTGTGTCTATTGAATAGTCCCCATTGGGACTGTATTATTCAGTTTTAGATTTTAGGTATTAAACTTCATTTACTACTACTCATATTTAGAGCTACTGTTATTCTGAAGTAGTACATTTTAGATTTACTATGTTGATAATGAAAAGATGTGTAATTTCATCAAAACTTCTCCTAATTTTTCATCAAAACTATTATTCAGTTTTACCAATTTTGAGTTGGTATAATTAATTTAAAATTTAGGATACTAGTGGTAAAATTTCTTGCACTTTATTTTGTCTTAAAGCTAGTTAGGTAACTTTGACAGCACCATATTTTGTTTTTCATTCCAAGCAATAATTACTTTTCATTCTGGTGTCTCTCTCTAACATATGAATTTGCACCGTAATCCATCTACTGAATCTTCACTTTCTGTTCATCCATTTTCTTTCTCTTGGTCTGTCAGTCATTGATAATCGGACTTATTAATCGGTTCAACTGGGTTTGGAATATATATAGCATTATCTGGACAAAACTGGCATAAGCCAGAGGTATGTCTTCAAATCTCTTCTTTAGTTTCCTCAACAACTGTATTAGCTTCTATTGCTTCCATTTCATTTTTATTGTATTCTGTATTGCATCATCTGTCTTGTTTTCTTTCTTTCTTTTCTTCCTCTGTGTCTGCAATTTCACTCTCTTAGTTTTTCTGTTCAATTTGAAATACTCAATTTGTATCTCTATCTCTCGACTGTCTCCTTGTGAATCTTCACTTTCTTTCCGGAGAAAATAAATAAATAAATAAAATCTTCACTTTTCTTTGTCTTGCTTTTGGACTTGTTTGTCATTCAAAATCAAACTGTGTGTGTTTGTCTTGAAGTCTCTTCCTTTAGTTTCTTAGCTTTCACCATCTGCAACCCCTTCCCTCTGAATCATCTTGTCAATCTTCACTTTTTGGGATTCAAAATCAAAATCAAAAATCAAATTAGAGACCAACTTACTAGCTCATCCAGACAAATCCACAAGCCAGAGGTACGTTTTATGTTTTAAGAATTATAACACTTGTAGGTAAGGAGTTACTAAACCAATCTCAACTCTAAAATAGAAGCATGATGGGACACAATTTCTTTCACAAATTTTAGTCTTTCAAAATAAATAAATAATAATAATAATTTATGCAATTTTGAGTCAACAAACCCAACATATATGATTAATTTTCTTTACAGCACAATGATGACAAGTTTTTTTAAAAAAGAGTAATAGGCCGTGAGAGAACCGAAAGAAGAACCAATTGATGATTTCGGCTCTTGAATTCACTCAGGTGGAGCCCAATTTTTTTGGGGTAAAAAATTTATAAATCAAATAATTTTCTCATCTAGCAAAGACTAAAATTCTTTTAGTATTCTACGTAAATTTGCGTCACTCATCCTCTCTGGTTTGTGCACACTTTTATGCCCAAGGTTGTTTCTCTCTTGTGAATTTTTATTTTTTTTTCATGTTGCCTCTATATGGTCTCTCTTACATCTGATTTCGTCTCTGTCTCTCTCTGCGATTTCTCACTTTCGCTCTCCTAGCTTTTGTGTTGAATTTGAAGTTTTCTCTCTTACAACTGAATTTGTACATATGTCAGGTCTATTTATAGATGTGAGACACCTTAGTAGCTAGCTTCATCTAAGTAAATTCCTTGGAGTCTCTTGCTTTCTAATAGCAGTTGTAGTTGTCTGTATTTCTATTGCTTCCATTTCCTTGTCTTCTGAATTGCATCGTCTCTTACAGAGAGAGAAGAAAAAGAAAGACGTTGAAGGTTGCTGGAGAATTAAAAATGGGGGACAATATTGCTAGTAATGTTGTGGCAACGATGCTGGAGCCCATCAGAGACAGCTTGTACGCATTCATCAGACGCCAATTTGGTTATTTGGTTCACTGCAAGAAAAACGTTAAGGATCTCGAAGATGAAGTTAATAAACTCAGAGACGCCATGGCAAGTGTCCAAACAAGGGTTGATGCAGCCTTGAACAATACTGAAGTCATTGAGGATAATGTTTCGAGGTGGCTGGACAAAGTGCAGAGCTCATTGACGACGATGGAAGAAGACATGGACAGATTAGTGCAAGGCACACAAAATCTCAAGTGTCTTCATGTTTGCTCGCGCTATCGGTTGGGTAAAGAAGGAAAGAAGAAGCAGACTGTTGTTACTAAGCTTATAGAGGACGGCAAATTTGACACTGTTGCACACCGACCTCCTCTAACTGGTATTTGGCAAAGAAGTCACAGCACAAGATATGAGAGTTTTCAATCCAGGGAGTTGGTTTTTAAGGAGATTATGAAGGCACTAAAAGATGACGGGACTTACAAGATTGGAATATATGGAATGCCTGGCGTTGGAAAGACTAGGATGATGGAAGAAGTTGCCCAGCAAGCACAAAAAGAGAGTCTTTTTGATGAGGTTGCCAAGATAGTTGTCACCGAGAATCCAAATTTGAAAGATATTCAACTACAGCTTGCAGAAGGTTTGAATATGAAGTTAGATAAAGAGACTGAATATGCAAGGAAGGGGCTGCTGCGCAGCAGATTGAAAAATGGTAAGAAAATCTTTGTAATAGTAGATGATGTTTGGAATGATCAAATTAAGTTGGAGGACATAGGATTTCCAGCTACAAATGATCAAACCAAAGGTTGCAAAATTTTGCTGACCTCTCGGAGGCGAGATGTGTGTGAAGTAATGGGGGTTCCTGAAAATGAGAACTTCTTAATTAGAGACTTATCGAAAGATGAAGCATGGTCCCTATTCGAGAAGAAGGTGGGAAATTCTATCAGACCTCATGATATGCGTTTTGTAGCGGAAGCGGTGTGTGAAGAATGTGCAGGTTTGCCATTAGCAATACTTGCAATTGGAGGAGCACTAAAAAATAAGAGTAAGTCGGACTGGGAAGATGCACTCAGGCAATTGAAAATTTCTAGGGCAGAGAACATTCCGGGAGTGCCGGCAAAACTCTATTTACCCATAGAGTTGAGCTACAAATATCTGGAGCTTAAAGATACGAAATCAATTTTTTTGCTTTGTAGTTTGTTTGGAGAAGATGCTCAGATTTCCATAGATGACTTGGTAAGGTATGGAGTTGGATTGAGGCTTCTCCTAGGTGTGGATACAATGGAAGAAGCAAGGAATAGAGCTCATGCAATTGTCAATACCCTCAAGATATCTTCTTTGCTATTAGAAGGTAGAAATGAAAAGTTTGTGAAAATGCACGATGTCATTCGAGGTGTCGCCTTATGGATTGCATCAAAACAGGAAGATGCCATGTTTCTAGTGAAAGCTGGTGTCACTAAGTGGCCAGATGAGGATGAATATAAACAATGCAAAGCAATCTCATTAAGGTTCAATGATGATTGTGTGCTTCCAGATGATTCTGAATGGACAGAAGTATGCACCTTAATGTTGGAATCCCGCAATCTTTTGTTAGAAGTTCCAAGTAGCTTTTTTAAAGTGATGGAGAAGCTTAAAGTTTTACAATTGCGTACTATGCAGATTTCAGAACTACCGTCGTCACTTAAAAATCTTAGGATGTTGCGCCTATACGATTGCCAATTGGTGAATGTAGCGTTTCTCAAGGAATTAAAAAAACTTGAGATACTATGCATTGCAGATTCTGATCTCAAAGAACTGGCTCCAGAAATAGGACAATTGACTTGTTTGCGTTTGTTGGATCTGAGCGGCTGTGATGAGCTCAACGTCATTCCCTCTGGTGTCATATCAAGTCTAACCCAGCTTGAGGAATTGTACATTCCAGGTGAGTTTTACCAATGGGAGGTTGAAGACAATGCAAGTCTTAATGAACTAAACTCGTTGAAGCGCTTGTTTAGTTTACAAGTTTATGTGCCAGATGTTATGTTACTGCCTCCCCTCATTGAGCCCCTGTTTAAGTCGTTGAACAGATTTGAAGTATCCATTGGGAGCAAGCTTCATCTTTCCTCAGACTTCTGGAATCCTGGAAAAAATCTCTCATCAGCAACAAGGATATTGAAAGTTGTGGGTCACCCTTTGAAGAAGGAGCTTAACATTTTGATGGAGAAAGCTGAAGTACTTTTTTTTTCTTCGAAAGTGTTTACAATATTGTGCTTCATTTGTTTGAAAAATATCATACAACAAGACCACTAAAAATATCATCCAGAGTCATTAACTTCCAGGATTAACTATAATATTAATTAAGCCCTTTTTTTTTTTTTTTTTTTTTTTTTTGGGCAACAATTAAGCTCTCTTCAACCACAAGCTATTGGCCTCTTTCCTCTATCATATATTTTTTTTCTTTTTTCTTTTTTCTTTTTTTATTTAAAAAATAATGTAACACCCTAAAATATGATACGTGACTCGCATAATTCATTCATAATAACACATGCTTAAATTAGTAGTAATAAACATGTAAACTATCTAAATATAAATTACTAAATTTCACTTACCTAACATAAGCTCCGGGTTCCCCTCAAAACGGGTGGCTACTTTAATACCACTAACTAACATGAGTCCCAAGCTCTACTCCAATTAAATGTTGTGAATTGTATAATCTCGAACTACCGAATACACACATGTGGTTGGATTGTATGTCTGATCACCCAAATGATTCCTGACCACATCCAAATACTAAGGGCACATTTAGTCCAATAACGATATCAATAATAGCGCACTCATAATAGGCCGGTCCTGGACCATTCCTAACTATACCACTAATCTCAACAAATCATTAATCATACTGATTTAATAATTGACTCAAACATTTAGCAATTCTAACTCATCGTTAAATGTGCACTTCGTATACTTAAAATATTTTAATAATTAATAAATACTAGCATACCAGTACATACTTATGGTCCAAATTTGAAATCTCCAAGTCCATGATCTAGACAAAATCAGTTCCAAAACCCAAGTACAAAAGACTTCAAACTGTATCGTATATTATGGGCTTCAAAAGATTATCTATATCCATGCCAATGTTAAATCCTAACAGCACATGTATAACTACATCAAATCTTTCAATTCATTGCTTCTATTCATAATTAATGTCTATCAACTAAACACTGCTTCCATGACTCCTCCACTCAAATTTCTCAGTCCTAGACTTATTCATATAATATAACCGTAATTACATATGAACATAGAAGCAATTGCACCCACAACCTAGTTATAATAACTTAATCTCACACCTGCATTGGTACATTTATATAGTAAACAATTCCAACACAACCTATATGCATATACCCACATCAAGAATCCACAGTTCACTCAACTAAGGTTTGCACCCTTCATTAAATAATTACTTCCAAAATCCACCAATTTACATTCAAATTCTAGTGCCTTCAAATATACTTAGCAGACCAAATATACGTAGCAGACCATATAATCACTAAATAAAATTCTTAAAATAACCTATATATAGAATCATTTATAGGTCAGCTAACTAATTTCTCATTCTCATTAATTACTATATAAAAGATTAGATTAGTATCTAAACCCCCACCAGTCAATCAGTCACTTTTCAGCAATTCACACTACTTAGTGCAAATGTAGATGTAATATCATTAAACTAAATTTACCAAGCATGACCAAATGAAATATATAAAATACTACCGATTCACTAGATTCCATAATTCAATCCCATAACAGTAAAATGTCAAATTGAATCATACTTTGTGCAGATATAGATGTAATATCATATACATGCTGATTACACACACCCATTACTACCTCCTTACACCCTAGACAACAAGTTTAAGATGTACAAGAAATATACATGGACACAAATATAGGTATAAAAGTACATAAATTCATTCGTGCTTTAATGCAACACATGATCAAGTACGCTTAATCAAATTCCTAACACAAGGCAATTAATTCTATGATTAATAATAGATTATAGTATATACATGAGATCAAAGCAAGAATGTAATTGCAATCAGCTTAAGCTTCTTTGCTTTTCCGCGATAAACATATAAAATCCTCGAGATCGCAACGTAGGTAAAAAACTAGATACAACGGAGTCTACATATATATATATATATTCAGTGATGGAGTTAAATAAGAACTTTTTTTAAATTCCAAAATAAACTAAATAAATAACTCTGCTATTTCCTTTTAAATACAATCACTCATCTAAATTTAAAATAAAGATAATGCCTAAATAATAATATGCGTCCATAAATATATATATATATACTACCTCTGTCCCATGTTAGTACTCTACTATATCATTTTTTGATGTTCCAAATTAGTTTTCTACTTTGAAAAGTCAAAACAAATAAACTTATCTTTTCATTATTGTCCTTTCATTTTCAAAAAATTTAAAACTTGGTAACTATATATATTTAAACTAAAATGGACAAATTGATAATTTTAAAAGGGGACAATGCATTAATTGCATGTCCCTTTAAAAACTCCAATATCTAAACATAGACATCTAATATGGGAGTAATATTTATTTATGGAGTATTACTAACAAAGTCTCTAATGCGGTAAAGTAATTGCATTTAAGCAACAATAATATTATGGGCACACTTCACTTCTTTAATAATTAATATATAAGATTAACAGACTAAACAATGAAAATGAAACAACTTATTTCTCCTTCCTCCTCTCACAGGAAAGGTCGCACATTTAATTAAATTTCCAATGGGACAGTAATAAGTGGGTGGGAGTGGTTTGTATGATGAAAATGAAACAGCTTATTTCTCCTTCCTCCTTTAGCAGGAAAGGTCGCACATTTAATTAAATTTCCAATGGGATAGTAATAAGTGGGTGGGAGTGGTTTGTATGTTATTAACTTATTACCTATTAACAAATTATATCATCTCATCAATATCTACTACCCACTTTGTTTTCTTCTTAAAAAAATATATATCTATTTTGGAATTAGTGTCAAATTAGGAAGTTTCTGGGACTAAAAAACGACATTCTTGAATAAAAATTGATTTCCTGTTCTTGGTTTTGAGCTGGGAAATATTATTACCATTTTGCATGTCTAATTTGATAATTTGTAGATATGATTGGAATAGTAGTTAATTTTAATATTTTAATATACTCTTTTTGTACAATTTTAGTTAAATTTAGAATCCTATTTTTTTCTTAAAACATTATAATTCTGCTTTATTATTATTATTATAATTATTATTATGTTGAAATAATTTAGAATAAATTATTTTTATGCTTTGCTAACTACAAATTTTTTTAGTAAATCAAAAGCAAATTCTATTACACTTACCAAGGGCTGGTTTCTTTCCCAAAAAAAAAAAAAAAAAAAAATACAAACTAGTACACTTATATAAACTATAATATTTCTTATTTAGGAAAATAAAATTCAAAGTTCAATATTTTTAATTTACCATTTTTTTTTCCCTGACAAGATGCAAAGAGAATAAGAAAGTATGGCAAAACAAGAAAATAAGAATCAATGGCAGAAATGAGCCATGTGGGCCAAGTGTCCCACTCAAGGTCACTAGACCTATTCCTCAAAGCCCATTTACTAAGGGGATGGGCTGGTTTGTTTGAGGATCAAGGAGCCCACGAGAGAGTGAAATTTGGAAACGCCGCCAACAAGAGCTTTATGTCTTCATGGCACACATATTCAATTAGGAGACCCTTGTCTAGAAAATATATATATATGCACCACTCTCACTCTCAGACAGACATGAAGCATTCATGTGTCATGCTAAATATAATTAGAGATATTCTAGTCATTTTTATATTCTTAGAAGTTTTATTTTAATTAGAAATATAATTCAACCAAAAATAAAATAAAGAAAAATACAATATTATAGTTAATAATATAAAATTTCCTTAATAATAATATTATATAAGATAATAAGGGTATATAATTATATATTTTATTAGTACCCTAAATTGAATTAAAATGAAAATTAATATATATATATATATATATATACACATATTATTTTTTTGCATTACAAAGAAGTTTTTTGCTGAAGCTTCTCCAACAAACTTGTTGATTCTATTGTAACCTTAATTGTATATTAGCACATTATATTAACATGTTACTCTACTAAATACAAACATGTCAATATATATGTCATGCAGGCACACCACACCCCATTTCAAACAAGTATTTATATATATATATATATATATATATATATATATATATATATATATTAAATTAGTGATCTCCCATAAGCTTTTATATTCTTTTCGATCTTTGTATATGTTTTTACACCTATGAGATTAGAACCATCTTAACATGCATTTATTAGCAAAAGTTTTACACTTTCACACTTTCTTTTACTTTTATCTTTATACAAAAAAATAAATAAATATTTGGACTTCAAACTGAAAGCCAAATGGGCCAAACCCCATCTCTAATTCAAGCTTTAAAAGTACAGCTTCATGAAACAACACTTATTCAAATTTCTATATTTAATTGCAATATTAATTGAATGGGTAGTTTGCTTTGCAAGCCCACTCCAACAGAAATGGTGGGACCATTGGGCCTACCTTAATGCCATCCCATTATTTTGGTTGGAATGTTTAGCCCAAGAATTATTTTTTAAAATAATTTACATTTAGGTTTCGTTTGTTTCGACGTAAAATATTTTCTTAAGAAAATATTTCTCTTTTTTAGGTAAAATATATATATATATTTTTTTATTTTTAATTTTTTGATATTTGGTAAATGTCTATACCGAAGTTAAGAACAAGTCTATCAGACGAAACATATAAAATAACTTGTCGAAATTGATACGTAAGTTATTTTTGTTAAATTTTAATATTTTTTTTTTCTTAAATATTTTACAACAACCAAACACCATAAAATAAAAATATAATTTTACATCCAAATAAACAGAGCCCAAGTCTTTTAGGTTAAAATTTAGCTCCTCTTCTCTTACTTTTCTTTTTTCCTTAGGGTACTATTTTTCTCTCCACTTTTTATTTTCCCCAGAGTACTATTATTATATGTTTTATTTTATAAAAATTTATGCAATTAAAAATATATTAGTGTTTTATTTTCACTCCAGAATATAAAGTGATGATATCCAGAAAATATCTAATTTTCTAAATAAAAGATCGAGTTTAGAGAACTTAGTGGCTGTCATGATAATATCCAGTTGCATCTTGTAATTAACAAAATGGTACAACAAAATTTTTTTTTTTTCGAAAGACAAGGTAAAGTAGGTGTGTATAATAAGAACTGGGATATAAATTTTTGAAAAAAAAAGGTTATTTAAGGATATAAATTTTTGAGGCCAATATTAAATTTGTGGTTGGGGTTTAACAAAATACGTGGAGTTTAATTAAAAAACGGAATGAATGATGAGAGAGAAAAGAGATTAAAAAGAGATTATTATAGGATATAAATATTTAGAGCCTAATATAAAATTTATGTATTTGATTAGGGTTTGATAATATTAAGAAATAACTGAAGCATAACTTATAAAAGGAAATTTGAAAATTTTCGGGCCTTCATATGCCTTTGACAATTGCCTAATTTGATTGAGGCTCCAGTCGGCCCTATCCGACTCTCTAATTTTGTCATGCACCGCATTTCATGCAACTGGGCACACACACATAGTATGTTTCAAACTTTCATGCAAACAAGTGTTTATATATATATATATATATATATATATATAATTAGAGATCTTCAATTAGTTTTTTTATTCTTTTTAATCTTTGTATAAGTTTTTACATCTATCCGATTAGGACCATCTTAATATGTATTTGTTAGCAAAAGTTTTACACCTTTCTACATATCTTCAATCTAATAAGAAAGATTTAAATTTCAAACTCTGAAAACCGAACGAGCTCAGACCCATCTCTATTCCAACTTTAAAAGTACAGCTCGATATCACAGTTCTTATTCAAATTTCTAAAGAAATCAATTTTGTTTTTTGGCAAAAAAATTTTTTTCGGAAATATAAAGAAATCATTTTTTTTGAAAACCTACAAAATTACAATTACTATGAAAATTTTATTTATATTTGGATAAGTGTAATTATTCCGCAAAAAATATATGATGTTCTCCAAACAATCAACCAAAAATCTTGGAGAATGATGTTGACTAACACCCGTGTATCCAAGTGCCATATTTCACTAATTAAACAGTAAATGCGGAGTATCAGTGTAGGACCATCTTACATCCTAATGAGCCACAATTAGTTGACAAATTGAAAGGATGCTTTTTATTGCAAATTGAATACTTAATTGTGGCTTATAAATGCATAAACTTAACAAAAATAAATAAATTTGAATAAGCTTCAAAAACAGTACATTGATTGAATATATTGGGAAAGACATCTCATGCTTTAATACAAAAGTTATAATTTAGTAAAACCTTCTAGGCTCTTAAAATTGAGGTGAGGGTTCAAGTCCCAATGGAGCAAGTTCAAGTAATGCAATAACCTTAAAACCTGCTTTCATTTCTTTCCCATATATTATTTCTGGCTGTATACATGCAGGTGCTAAAATTTTAATTTCGTTTTTCTCTAATTGGAGAGTCATTTTGTTAGTGCAACATTGAAACTTGCTCTGATTTCTCTACTGTGATATAATGGTTATATAACTGTATTTCTTAATAGATGGAATTAAGGCTAAGTAAACAACGTGAATGGTCACACTCTAGTCTCATTGTCATACTATAAATTTCAAAATCTGAGATCCTAGGTTTTGGATTTATGGTTTAATTAGAATTAAAATAATTCTAGTTCTTAAAGACTTGTTATTTCACATATCAAACAAACAATTAATCTAAAAATCTTCAAATTCAATAAAATTAGCACGTCATATATTAAAATAGCATATATAAGAAATTTAAAAAATCTAATTAAAAAAATCAGAAAATAGTCAAAGCAGAATCAAAGTATTACTTGGGTTTTTTTAATTCCAAAGACAAGTAGGCTCCTAAATGAGAAAGCAGCCCAAGAATAGCTGGATTGTGCTTCATTTGTTTGAAAAATAATAATAAAACCATTTAGTTTCTTAAAATACATTTTTTTTTTCCGAAAATAGTTAACTTTTGATTTGTAATTGTGTATCAAATAACAACACCACTAGTTTTTACTGGAAAACAAATTAGGAAAAAAAGAAAAAATAACTATAGTTGACTCTTCATGCAGCGCTCATAATTTTCGTTTTAAAATAGTAGGTTGCAAAATTTACTAATAATCGGCTGCCACTAGTCAATTGAATAGTCAATTGAATATATAGTAATGAATTTACTCATACTTTTGCAGGTTGCATTCCCTGTCTTGGAGCAACTACATATTGAAGGATTGAAAAGCCTTACAGCTATATGGGAAGGCCAATCCCAATCACTTATAGTGAAGGAAGCACAAGTTTCCTTTCAAAGCCTAAGGTTCATGAGTGTATGGAGTTGTGAGAAATTGATGAATGTGATTGTCTCCGATATGCTCCCAAGCTTACAGAAGCTAGAAAAACTTAAAGTCTATTTTTGTGATTCAGTGGAAGAGATAGTTGCAGTTGAAAGGGGACAATTAGGAGAAGAAGATGTAGTGCATGATGAGATCATTGTCTTCTCTCAATTGAAGTATTTGCAACTTGAAAAGTTGCCAAATCTCAAAAGTTTCACTCATGGATCCAAAGAGGATGAAGAAACAGTGGATCAAATCATTCCCAGAGTGGAAGCCATCTTCAACCACAAGGTATGTACATAAATTCACTGTGACAGTAATTAAAATCTAATTATAATTTTTGCCTTAAAAAGAATTTTCTCATTACTTTCTAAATAAAATCTGATTCATTGTGATAGTAATTAAAATCTAACTATAGAAATAATTAAAATCTAACTTGATTTATGCTACCACAATTACTTTTTTTCTTTTATTTTTTAACTGACACATACATGAATTTTTTTTATGATTTTTGTTGATTGTGACTGTTAGTTTTGCATCATTCGTGTGCAATTTCTTGTTCTCATTGCCGCTACTGCCCCTTTTGAGCCCCATAAAATTAGTGAAAAGTTGTCATAATTAATTTTAACCAATCATGTAAACAATTAACTAAAAAAATTTGCCCAAAGAAAAAAGTCATGTAAATTTGCACCACTGTACCAATTTTAGGGTTTATTTCGAATTAAAATAATTCTAATTGTTAAAGGCTTGTTATTTCATTGACTACGTATTTAATAATTTTTAATTCAAAATGTAAACCTCCCGTTAAAAATTAAATTAAAACCCAATCAACTATGTCATTATCTGTCCATATGTTGTGAAATATGAAGATTTTAATTCTCCATGAATTTGAGTGAAACCAGTAATTTTAGAAAGCGAAGTCAGCTTACTAAAAAAAATGAAAAACTCTGCTCTTAAAATTTGTGCAGGCTCAGTTATCCAAAAAAAGTATTTGCCAAAAATTAAGCACTCAGTATCTTAAAATGAGATACGATTTCCATTAAATTTTAGAATATAGAAAATGTTTCTTGGTCTAAAACTATAATGAAAATTTTCAGTAAATTCGTTTACAATAAACTTGTGTTGTAGAAGAAAATTTGGGCAGCATGCTAGTTAATATATTTTTAGTTTTTAAGCTACTACCAAACTTTGTACCGTTACATCTAACTTTCATGCAACCACACACAGCATGTTTCAAACTTTCATGCAATAGGTTATATATATTACTCCGTAAATTAGAGACCTTCCATTAGTTTCTATATTCTTTTTAATCTTTGTATTTGATTTTACATCTATTAGGACCATCGTAACATGCATTTATTAGCAAAACTTTTACACTTTTCTACTTTCTTTATTCAAACAATAAAGATTTGGACTTCAAACTCTGAAAGCTAAATGGGCCCAAACCCCATCTCTAATTGGGCTTTAAAAGTACATCTCCATATCACAACTCTTATTCAAATTTCTATATTTAATTGCAATTATTAATTGAATGGCTAATTGTGCTTTACAAGCCCACCATTCCGACTTAAATGGTTAGCCCAATCGTCCCACTTGAATGCCATCCCATTGTTTTGGTTGGAATAGTTGGCCCAAGAAGCATTTTTTTAATTAATTTACATTATGCCTTCATTTGTTTGGATGTAAAATATTTTTTATTTTACGCGTCCTGTCGATGGACTCAACCTAGACTTCTGCTGAATAATTAAAAACAAAAAAAATATTTTACCTAAAAAAGAAAATATTTTCAAATATTTTACGTCAAAACAAACACGGCCTAATATAAAATAAATTGTCATATTAAAAAAAAAAAAATGTTTTTTGTCATAATTAGAAAAATCAGTAAATTTTCACTAGTGAAAAAAGAGATGAAGAAGCACGTTTGAGCATCCTACTATGTCCTTTTCAGCTCTCTTAAGTCTTTTAAGTTAAAATTTGGTTCTTCTCTTACGTTTCTTTTTCCTACCCAAGTTAGGGTACTATTTTTCTCTCCGCTTCTTATTTTCTGTATAGTACTAATTTTTTTTTCCCCCCCTAAATTATTTTAAAACAAACTTATGCAATAAATAATCTATTAGTTATTTATTTTAACTCCAAATTTAGAGTTGATGGCTTGTGTTTTCGGTTAAGATTTTTCTTTCTCCAAATTTGGATTTGGATGGGAAGTGCTATGCAACTTAATCTATATAAATAATGAAATTTGCAGGTTGCATTGAGGATCTAATAATTCATAACTTGAAAAGTCTTACAGCAATATGGAAACAATGTGAATGTATAGAATTTCTTAATATATAGAATTTAGGCTGGTGGACTGAGGAAACAGTGTGAATGTAACAATCCAGGGTCTAGTCTCTTTGTCAGGCCTGAATTTTAAAATCTGAGACCCAACATTTTGTGTTTAAGGTTTATTTCAAATTAAAATAATTCTAGTTCTTAAAAGCTTGTTATTTCATTCAGATCTTGGTGTTCTCTCAATTAAGGACTATGAGACTTGAAGGCTTACCCAAGCTCAGTAGTTTCTGTTGCTCCAGAAGAGGAGGAGAAGAATTGGTAGTGGAGGAGAGTAATATTGACCAACGAAAAGCATTCTTCAACCACAAAGTACATACGTCCTGTGTCCTTAATTAATCCTAATTAATCATTAGGGGTGCACTCAACAACTGAAATTATTTATGGATTTCAATTAGATTTCCACCAAACCTTGGTGGGTTTGTGTTATTTCACTCACATGTCCTTGAATTTAGTCTCAGATAAATTTCAGTTTTTTTTTTTCTTCCTATCATTTAAATCTTCAAACTAACTCAACTACTCTTAGGAGATCAATGCAAATTTTTTAAACCGAGTATGTGTGAATAATTACATTTAAAAATCTCAAAAAAGATTAGTGTAATTTAACTTTGAAATTATAATCAACTTCAAACTAAAAATACGCCGTGATGCATAATTTCATTTTTTTGGTGGTCTGGTCTCATTTTTAGTTTGAACCATTATTTTCAAGGGAAGCTCTGCCCTCTTTCCCTTCTTTTTTTTCCTCCTAATGACTAAGATATACTAGTTGAGTTATTGGTATTATCACCTGCAAACTGATATTTTGCAGGTTAAATTTCCTTGCTTGGAAGAATTATTTATGAAGAGATTAGACAGCTTGGAAGAGATATGGCACAGCACAATTTCAAACGACTGTGTTTCCAAACTGAGAAAGTTAGAATTGGAATGGTGTCGCAAGCTATTAAATGTTGCTTCAACAGAATTGCATACAAGTTTCCAGAACCTAGAAGAAGTCAAAGTGCTACAATGTGAGTCCCTGCAAGAGGTATTTAAAGTTGAAGGGTCAAAGGGGGCAGAAGGAACAGTTGTGTTCCCTCAATTAAGGACCATGAGACTTGAAGACTTACCCAAGCTCAGTAGTTTCTGCTGCTCCACAAGAGGAGGAGAAGAATTGGTAGTGGAGGAGAGTAATATTCCCCAACAACAAGCACTCTTCAACAACAAGGTACATACACCCCCGTGTCCTTAATTAATCTTAATTAACCATTAGTGGGTACACGAAACCTTGTGTTTTGGCTTTGTGTTATTTCACTCACATGTCCTTAAATATAGTCTCTGATAAATTTTAGTATTCTTTTTTCTTCCTGTCATTTAGATCTTCTTACTAAGTCAACTACTCTTAGGAGGTCAATGTAAAATTTTTAAACTGAGAGTATGTGTGAATAATTAAATTTAAAAATCTCAAAAAAATTAATATAATTTAACTTTGAAATTATAATCAACTACAAACTAAAAATATGCAGTGATGCATAATTTTATTTATTTGGTGGTCTGGTCTCATTGGGATGACAACTATGAAGCTACCATAAAATTGAATAAATCTTTGTGAGTACTACCAGTAGTGTTGAGACTTGCATCAATGAAGACAATATGACAAATCGTCAGGCGGAACAAAATACTACTATATTCACTTATTTATTGGACTATTTTAATTATTTGATGACTTGGTTATAAATTAGGAAATATGGATTCCAGGAGTATTCTCCTAATCTCATCCAAGTATTATAATTCAAAAGAAAACCACACATTAAGCAACCGAAAAAGGAGGGGGAAAAAATAACACCATTTGTGAACTCCTATGAATATATCAAGTGATTGTGCTGTAATCTGTTTGTTGATTTATTTAATCTGCTTATACATCATTATCTAAATAAAATAAGAACTAAAATCATTAATTATTACAAGCATTAATTGTGAAGCTCATATATGAAATCAGTAGATACCAAGTAATTATTGGAAGAAAACTTAAACCATTATTTTAAAGGGAAGCTGTGCCCTCTTTCCCTCCTTTTTGTTCCTCCTAGTGACTAAGATATATTAGTTGAGTTATTGGTATTATCACTTGCAAACTGATATTTTGCAAGTTAAATTTCCTTGCTTGGAGGAATTGTTTATGAAGAAATTAGACAACTTGGAAGAGATACGAGTGCCAAATTTCACTAATTGAACACAAAGTGTGATATTATAAATGTGTGACAGGCTTCTATAGCCTAATGAACCACAATGAGTTGACATATTCACAAATTGAAAGGATGCTTGTTATTGCAGATTGAATACTTATAACAAAATATACTAATATCTGGCCCAACTGTTGGATTCTTTATTACAAAATGTAACATAAATAATGAAATTTGCTGGTCGTATTGAGGATCTGATAATTCATAATTTGAAAAGTCCTACTACAGCAATATGGAAACAATGTGAATGTATAGAATTTCTTAATATATAAAAACGTGCTATTTCATTGATTTGATATTTAATAATTTTTAATTCAAAATGTAAACCTTCCTTAATTTTATATGAAAACCCAGTCAACTATATACTCACAATGAAACATTGTGGGTGAAACATATTCCCAATCAATTTATGCATTAGGATGTCTTAAAACTTGTAACAAACAAGATTATTATATGTGCATAAGTTGTGAAAATTTTATTTCTCTTTGAATTTGAGTGAAACCAGTCATTGTAGAAAGAAAATTCAGTGCGCTAAAAAAAAATTCAGCTCACTACGATTTAAATAAGATTTTGGCATAAAGATGAACCTCTTGATTGGCTTTTCAAATTTGTGCAATTATCCAAAAAAAAACATTTTCCAAAAGTAAAGCACTTATTATCATAAAATAAGATTTCCTTTCTGTTAAATTATAGAATATAGAAATGTTTCTTGGTTTCAAACCATACTAAAATTTTTCAGTAACTTCGTTTTCAATAAACGAGTCTTAGTAGAAGAAAATGAGCTACCAATGTGCGTGTTCTAATTGAAATTTCCTTTATGTTCCTCTTAATGACTAAGATATACTTGTTGAGTTATTGGTATCATCACGTGGAAACTGATTTTTGCAGGTTAAATTTTCTTTATTGGAGGAATTGTTTATGAAGAATTTAGACAACTTGAAAAACTTGATGACATTAACAATCTCATGCTTTAACACCAAAGCAATAATCTAGTGGTATTTCTTTGCCATCCAAAGTGAAGTTTTTACACCCTTTACATCCAAGTTTACAAATCTCAACAGTATCAATCTATTCAATCAAACAATTTTCAGTACAACCCATATAACAAATTACTGAACTCACCTGTCAAATTTAGTTCATTGCACTTGTGAATTCAGACAATTTCTTTATCCCAAGAATTGATCACAAATTTTCAATCATAAATTTCCAATCACAATAGTAAGTCCTTAAGAATATATTGAGCTAACACAATTGAAATGTATTCGGTAACACTTAATCATAATTCTGAATTGTCATATGCATGTATCATAACTCCATTATTTATGCATTTGCCAAAAATATCAGTCACATATCAAACAAACAATCAAACTTAATAAAAATTGCACGTGTCATATATTAAAATACCATAAGTGAGGTATATTCATGAATATATATATATTAAGCTTTCAATTTACCCTAGGGCATCACGACTCAAATATATTATGTATATTAGGAACTATATGAATCACATTACAAACCCACCTATATATCAAGGAATTTAATACAAAATAAATTTACATTTGAACAATTTAAAAGGACAATTATTCATAATAAACAGAGTAAATGAAAATCCTATAATAAAGATTGAAGAATAGTGAAATTCCCCATCTCATTTTGCTTTTCTCTTCTCTGGGCTCTTTAAAACGATAGGAGCAGAAACTTGTGATATAGATATAATCTTGAAGTTTTGTAACTACAAAATATATGTTGAATTTTGTAGGTTGCATTCCTTGCCTTGGAGAAATTGAGTATTACAAATTTGGAAAGCCTTGAAGCCATATGGAATGACCAATCACAATCACTTCTATTGTATGACGCAGAAGATAACTTCCAATTCCTGAAGTGCATAGAGGTCAATGGATGTAACAAAATGGTGAATGTGATTCCAGCCAATGTTCTCCCAAGGTTACAGAACCTAACACAACTCCACATTTCTAAAAGTCACAATTTGATAAATGTATTCTCATCATCCATGGCAAAATATCTTGTGCACCTCCAAGAATTAAAAGTGACCGATTGTGAGAAGATGGAAGAGATTGTTGCAGTTGAAAGGGGACTATTAAGCGAAGACGGAGAAGAAGATCTAGGGCATGATGAGATCATTGTCTTCCATCAATTAAAACACTTGACCCTTCAACAATTGCCAAACCTCAACAGTTTCTGCAGCATTTGTGGATCCGAGAAAGAAGAAGAAATTGCGGAGCAGAATTTTGGCAGAATGGAAACCCTCTTTAATTACAAGGTACATGTGTTCTATCTCCTAAATAACAACATAATAGCTATTAAGCAGGGACTATTGTTTATCCAAATTGGGATTCTCAGTTCTCACAACCCTTTTATATGATGAATTGACGTAATTGTCTTTTTCACTGCTCTATTTGCTAACTAGTTCAACAAACGTTGCAAGGAATGAAGATTCACCTACATATTATGTACATTGTTAGAATCCGATCCTTCACTACACATCCGAAGATCAAACTGATGTCATTTCAGTATCTACTAGGCACTTCGTTTTTGCCTTTAAAAGAATTTTCTCTTTAGTTTTCAATTACTTTCTAAATAAAATCTGATTCACTATGCTTGGGTTGGAGCATGCTATCCAATCAGAAAACAATATTAGCTTTTGCATACCTAAATTAACAATTTTTAGATCACAATATGATTTGAATTGTAAATTTATTCTCTTGATGAACATTTTTGTACAACGCTAATTCAATTCAGTTTTTTTTTTAGTTAATGACATTTTTAATCCTAACTCTATAAATAAATGATTATTTTTCTCAAATGCAATATCTATCCTTTGAAATATGGAATAATATATATATTTTAATCTTAACCCCTCTCTAATTTTTTTTTTTTTCTCTTTCAATGAACCCAATTATAACTTAAGTGACAAGTATCTGTATTATATAATGGACAATATTTAGGTTATCACCAGTGATGATGTACCATCTCATATTTGGACAAATAATTATAATTATAATTACAACCATCTTTGATTTTGTAATGAAAGAAGACGTGTTCATTTGTTATTAATCTATATCAGTTGTGAAGACGGTGTACATCTTACCAATGAGTACTTAAATATTATTCTTATATAATTACAATCTAAATCTTCAAGTACACATTCTCCTCTTTTTTTTTTTTAAACCAAGGCAAGAAGATTTCGCTACATATATAGAATTCAAACTCACTGTAATAGTATTAAATATTAATAATTTTTTTTTTGGCACCAAAATATTAATAATATATTTGGTGCAAGCTAGTAACTAAAATAGTATTAAATATTAATAATATTTTTTTTTGGCACCAAATATTAATAATATATTTGGTGCAAGCTAGTAACTAAAATTTAACTATAGAAATAATTATAAATAATTAAAAATAGAATGGATATCATACTACCGCAATTTTTTTTTTTTTTTCACTGACACATGCATGAATTTGGGGATTATTTTTGTTGATTGTGTTAGTTTTGCATCAATGCCGCCAGTGTCCCTTTTGAGCTCCATAAATTAGTGAAAAGTTTTCACAAGCCAATCAGTTTGGACTTCTTAATTAATTTCAACCATTTATATGGAACCATTTAATTAAAAAAAAAAAAAGTCTTGTAAATTTGCACCACGTACCAATGAGTATTCTGCTCAAATGCACCATGATCCCCTTCTGGACACACAATAGAGCTGGCATTGCCTATTTGACTTCGTATTGCTAAATAAGAGCTTTGGACATAAAATATTATCATTTTATTTCTTATTTTGTCTTGTTGAATAAATATTATCTTTTGTCAAAAAAAAAAAAAAAAAAAGAGTTAAATTTATGAATTTTTTTTGTTATTTCCTTTAAAAGAATTAAAAAAGTGAATTGCAAATATCGGCTCCCTTTTTTAAATTCTAAAACTAGCTTCTAGGCATTAACTCACATTATAAACTCAGGAAAGTTTTCAAAATTTAAATTATATATATATATATTAAGAAAACTCACATTATAAAGTCAGGAAAATTTTCAAAATTTAAATTATATATATATATATAAAGAAAACTCAACTTTTTTCATCGACTTTCGCAAAATTAGAAAATGAATGGGGTGACTCTAATTAATTATTACATATTTGAAAAACAGAAATCCAATTGATATTCTTAAAATTCGTTTGATTGTTTAATAGTATTCTCAATTAGTCTAGCAAATTTTCGGCATGAAAAGCATCTTCATTGACTTCTAATATCGACTGATACTGCATTACTCATTACTGCTTAGTTGAATCTAACCAAACATCACCTTGAACATTCAAAACTGACATCAATTTTATTCAAGCCTATATCTCTTAATTTCAAATTCACTCATTTATCTAAATTAACTATTACATTCTAACAAGTCTAATTTAGTGGGGTATTTTAGTTTGACCTTGTGTGATTTTTCCCACATTAATTAAAATAAAATGGGATGTAATGAATTTTGCAGGTTAGGTTTCCAGCTTTGGAGGCATTGAAAATTGGAAAATTGAAAAGACTCACAGTGATATGGGACAAACAATTATTCCTAGGTTCAGAAGCACAAGAATCCTTTTGGCAGCTAAGATTTGTCACCGTTCATGAATGCGATAAACTAGTGAATGTAATTCCACCCAATGCATTCCCAATGTTACAGAACCTTGAAAGTCTTGAAGTTGTATCATGTGATTCAATGGTATATGGAGCAGAAGTGGCTGCTATTGAAGAAGGCAGTGTGATTCAATGGTTTCCTCAATTAAAGAAATTGGAGCTTAAAAAATTGCAAAACCTCAAAAGTTTCTGCTACAGTAATATTGGTGGATCCAAAGAAGAAGAAGAAGAAGAAGAAGAAGAAGGTGGTGGTAAGACCTTGGTGTTCCCTCAATTAAACACTATAAGACTTGAAGAGTTGCCAAAGCTCAGCGGTATCTGCTGCTCAAGAAGAGGTGAAGAAGAAAGTGTACTGAAGGACAGTGATATTCCCCAACAAGAAGCTGATCTCTTCAACTACAAGGTACACACGCACCTGTTTCCTTAATTAATGATTTGGTGCACTCAAAACAACTGAAAATTTTAAAATGGATTTCAATTAGATTTCCACTTAACCTTGTGTTTTGGTGGCTTTGTGTTATTTCATTAACTGAAATTATTAATGGATTTTGGCACATCAATTACATCCATCTATTTATGTAGCAGAGCCTCAAAAGTCAAAAGCAGAGTCTCAAATGAATTCCACTGGCTAATATGCAGTTACATATATGGTTTGAGAATAATTTTATTTACCTGTAGAACATGAAATGGAATTACAACTGAAAACTAGAATGTGCATAACAAAGGGGTAGTCATTATTGCTTGGTTTGATCTAAATTTATTTTTATGAATATATATACATGCTCTACATAGTGATTGATTTCTGCAAGCAGGTTGAATTTCCTATCTTGTTGGAGGAATTGGTACTAGGTAATGAAAGCATCATTGGAGGTTTTCAGAAAAAATTGTACAAAGTAAGATCCATGAAGGTGAAGAAATACAACAACTTAGTGAATGCTTGTACCCTGCTACAGTGGTTTGAGGTTGTTGAAAAACTGAGTCTGGAATCTTGTGACTCATTGGAGGTTATCTTCAACCTTGAAGGACTTGGTGCCATTGAAAGAAAGGCAATTGTGTCTTCTCAAGCAAAAGAATTGACACTCAGGGATTTACCTAAATTGGAATCGCAGGGGCTTTTGGTGTTTCACAACCTAACGTCTTTGTATGTTAGTACATGCAACAGGCTGAGGTATGTATTCTCCCTCTCAATAGCAAGAGGTCTCACACAACTCAGAGACCTAACAATTAGGGAATGTAGTGTGATGGAAGAAATAGTTAGAAGTGAAGGACAAGGAGAAGAAGATGACATGGATGAAATTGTGTTCTCTCAACTTAAAAAACTGTTTTTGTGGGTGCTACCAAACCTTACATGTTTTTGTGGGACAAATAATGCTTTTAATTTCCCATCCTTGAAGTTGGTTTGTCTGGAGGAATGTCCCAAATTGCAGACCTTCACATCAGGAGGCATAACCACATCTGGAGGCATAACCTTAAGAATTGATTTTGAGGACCAACACGATGTGAGCGACCTTAATAGCCATGTGCAGCGGAGGATAATTTCCCATCCTTGAAGTTGGTTGGGAAAGGAAAGGTAAGAATGAAATTTTAGTGAAAAAATGATTCTGCCAATGCTTTTCATATAACACATCTACTTCTGTTTGATTCAGGAATCAGAAGAGGATGATGATGATGAAGATGATGAAGAAGATGATGAAGATGATGATGATGATGATGATGAATAGCCATGATCAGCGGAGGATAATAGCCATGTGCAGAGGTGGTTGGTTGGGAAAGGAAAGGTACGATGAAATTTTAGTAAAAGATGTTTTTCCAGCATAGTAGTGGTCAAATGTTGACTAGTGAAAAAATGATTGTGCCAATGCTTTTCATATAACCAGTCTACTTGTGTTTGATTCTCAGGAACAAGCGGAGGATAATTAGAAACAACAAGTCTTGATGATGATGTGAAGGCCAAAAAGTGTGCATTGAGTGCATCAGACTTTGTATTTATATTTGTGTGGCGTGTTTGGTGAGTAAAGTTGTGTCAGTGTGATTGATAAAACATAATAAATAAATAATAATAATAATAAACTTAAAAGGTGCATTTTTATTAATTCATTGTTTGATACAATTGATGTTGTATTTGATCCTAGTAACAAACCGTACAATTATTTTGTATGTATTATCAGATACTGTACTATTTAACATTACAATTGATGTTGTATTTTGTTGTCTTGATTTACTTTATTCTCTATTTCTTTAAAAATCCTGCATCATAGTTAGGCATGTGGGCCCATTGTAAGTTTTTGAAATAATTTTTATTTTTCAGAAAATTGAAAATAAAAAACTTCAAAAAAATAAAAAAAACTTGTTTGGTTGTCATTTTTCTGTAAATTAAGTAATAAAAATTCAGTCATAAAAAAAGTTTATTTTCAAATTTTTTATAATTATATGCATAAACATCCCTAACTTTTGAATTTTTGTAGCAAATTGTCCATGATTGTCAATTTTGATATTTTTTATAAAACCCAAAATACCCTCAATAAATATGTAAATTAATATATATATATATATATATATATATATATATATATATATATATATATCTATATTAATTTTGCTTTATGGGAATTTTAGGAATTTTAATCTTCAAATTGAGAAAATGTCCTTATTTGTCCAATTTGAAAAATGTAAAGTTTTTTTAACATGACTAAAAATTTGCACATTTTGTATATAGTAGGGTTCTTTTTCTTTTCTTTTTTTTTTTTTTGGCTCTTTATCTTTTTTATTCTATCAAAGACCTTTAAATAGTAAGAAGAGACAATTAAGTGGAAACTTAAGACAAATTGGCGTCAAATTTTTTCTAAATTTTGAAAAGAAAAAAAAAATGAAATACAAATCTTCTAATTTTTGTTCTTTTTGTGTATAATTAATAGTAGCAGTGAAAAACGAGCTCAAGTAGTCAAGCTTATTTGAGTTTTAATTCATTTCTAAAATTTATATCCATTTGTCGAAACAATGGTGAAAAATCTATGCAAAAAAATGTTGAATAACAAAATAAAGTAGACTAGAGGTGAATGGAATTCAATCCTCAAATGGAATTATATCCATTTGTCTGATGTTTAATTATCTTATATTGGACTTCAATTCTTTTTTCTTTTTTTGGCAAGTGTGTATTGGACTTAACTTCTCTTGAACTTTTTTAATTCTTAGTAGTTATTTATTTATTTATTTATCAATTGATGAGTTGTTTTTATATTATTGTTTTATCAAATTTTATCTTTGAAGAAAATGAAAGGAATGGTGCTTCCAACATTTTGCAGTTTATTTTTTTCAATTAATATAGTTCCTTAATAAATGTAGTAGGACCAAAAGTAGTGTCTATAGTTGGTTGTTAAAAATAACATGTTATCCATTAATTTATTTATTACCACCACAAGCTATTTCCTGTCATACTCCAAAAACCACCAAGATTGCATTCAATTTCTTTTCATCTTCTCTTAGTCTTAGGAAAAAAAAAAAAAAAAACGCAACTGCCACGTGCTTTTATTTTATCAATACATTGCTTTACCTTCCGAATAAAAAATAAAATAAAAAAGAATGAAAAAAAGGGAGAGAAGAAAGAAAGAAACCCTAAAAATGGGGTTTTAGATATCAAACTGTCTCGGCCATGAAAACTGTTTTTCATCACTTCATAAAACAAGATGAAACAAGAAACAGTTGCTTCGATATTCATGACATCAAACGAGAAATGAACAGGAAAACATAGAAAAAGGAGAGGCAATAGAAATGTTTTGGGGGCAAAAAAGTCATGTGATTATGATATCATGGAAAATCTGTTCTCTACAAAAACCAGCATCAAGATCATTATATGCTAGCCTAGTCTATACCAACAACATCCATTTCAAGCCCTATTTACAGTGCATCATTTCTATATCCAAGTCTTCCAGAAACCACCAAACAAGCAGCTAGTACTCAAACTCTCGAGCAAAAACTGCTTTTTTCTTCTTCTTGTTTGAATGAGGCCTCGGAACTTGTTCACTTATCATGAGAAGGTAAAGTAAGGGAAAGATCGAGTGATACTGGGAATTCACCACCATCATTGTTTTTCTTGCTCGCCACAGAACTTGGAACCTTGTCTTGGTTATGCTTTTCTTCCACAATCCCAAGAAATGAAGGCCTGAGCCGCTGCGTTGTCAAATTTTTTCCAGCCCCTAATGAAAGTTGAAGATCTAAAAACTCAAACCCCAGCTGATCCTTGTAATCTGATGCCATAACTTGCGATTTTGAGGACATGACCTCTGACATGCCACCCACTGGACCTTGACTTGCTGAAACTCTTTGCTTTCTCTCAGTAACTTCATGTTCTTTCTGCAATTAGAACAAGTAGAAATTAGCACCGATTTTACAAAATCAGGGAAGAATATTAAGCTTTGAAATTTTAGCATTGATAGATGATTATAATAGTGTGAGAATATACAAGCACCAATCCTAAGCCACCAACCAAATAGATTTTTTTTTTTTTGTAATCCAAGGCAACAACAGCCAAATAGATTGGGCTAAGTCATTTTCTGCCATTCAACTTTATTACAACATGTACTGGCATACTTCACTAAATCATTGGCCAAAATGTTTCTTGCTATTAACATCGTTTATTCATTTCCCTTTTGTATTTCAGTGAGTGCAGACACACAACTCAACACACACACCCCCATTACGCCCCAGTGGAGACCTGAACCCTCAATTCATTTTACAAACATTCTATGGAACATGTTTTTTGCTGCCAAGAATTCCATTCTATTTAGCATAGTTACTTTTTAGCCATTTAGTAGATTTCAGTTTATTTTTTAAAATATTAAACATACAGTACATACCACAACAGCAGCGTTTCTCCACTGTCAATTTTGTTTCTGTTTTATGAAATTACATCTCTTCAATACATGATGTTCCAAAGAAGTTACTTGAAGAGAGAGAGAGAGAGAGAGAGTATATTATGGGCTCGACTCTTTTCACTATGCAAGTACATTCCCATGGCATTCCATATAATTTAACACAAGAACTTTGTATTCGGAATCAATTACATAATTATAATGACTAATCAATTACATAATTATATTAGAAGAATGTAATATAAGTTTACGATTCCCATCCTTTCTAGTAGAAGAAACAGAGGGCAACTCTAGAGGATCGATGTAAGTAGATGATCGTTCTACATTGTAGAGTAACTTAGCTGCAGATAAACATTCACTTGGCTTTCCAGAAGAATACATGTGTCGAGACCCAAACATACCAAGTGAGGCCAAATTCTGGTCCAAGGGTACATCGTTCAAGCTGGGGTTAGAAGTTTTATTTTGAGAGCCAAGACATTCTACATTGTTGACCTTCCTTTCTCTAAAATCACCCCATAAGAAAAACAACTTATTCCAACCTGCCAAAAACATAACATACAACTGAGAAAATGCCAATGCATAAGCAAAGACCATGAAGATTAGGCCTTACACTGGGAGTTTTCAGGAAGAACATTGGATGAAAATATTAAAAGTTCAATTCCATCAAATTTCCCTATAAGAGGTAAATCATAATTGATCATGCACTCCAACATGCTCTTATAATTTCTTCCATAGCTGCAAGAAAGGCATATGAAAAGGTTTAAAAATAAGTCTGCAAGGAAAACTGCGCCTATAATGTATATATACCAGAAACAAGCTTTGGAACAGAAAAAATTCGCCTCTGCGTGGCATGTCAGGAAAATGTGTATAAGACATTCTTAAAAACCACAGCAATTACTCAATCTTGATGAAACCGAATTTAACAAACTACAAAATAAGATAATAAGAGGAGTGGAGAAGGGCATACTTCCAAATATAATCAAGCTTTGGAACAGAAAAAATCCTAAATTCAACAGGTTGATTGCAAAATATGGGCCTAAGATCCGTCCTACTACTTTGGTCCACTTCCTTTGAAGTTCCTGCATCAAGAATAGGAACCCGAGTACTAATCATTGGGCAAGATTCTGCAGTGTGACCCATATTCTTACATTTTAGTGGTTATGATGAAGGTAAGAGTAGAACATATCAGTTGTAGAATATATACTTCCTAACGGAAGTGAAGTGACTTACTCACCCCCTGCTCTCTTCAATTTAGGTCTTCATGAACAATGTTTTTTCCTTGGATTTTTTAATTATCTTAATTCGATTTTTTTGGCAAGTACTTGTTCGATTTCGAAAGAGAATGTTTAGAGATTTTGCGCTGCACTGATATATCTTTCATTAATCATGTATGCATTTTGCTGAATGAATTTTTTTTTCTTTTGGTGCAACTTATTTCTGCACACAGCTGCTAGCTATTCTTATTTCATAATAATCTGCACATAGCTGCTAGCTATTCTTCATGTTCATGTGATCGCATTGAATTTCTTTTCATCGTCTCTAAATGCAGTATTGAGGCGAAATGCTACTATTGTCATGGACGCGAAAATGTGTCTGCGAGTGAGAGAGAGAGAGAGACAACCAATGCAGTGTACCAAAACTATACTAATGCAGCATCTGCCATTTCAATGAATCAAGAGATT